AATCTCTGCCTCTTGGGTTCAAGCAATTCTCCTGCCTCAGCCTCCCAAGTAGCTTGCATTACAAGCATGTGCCACCACGCCTGGCTAATTTTTTGTATTTTTAGTAGAAACGGGGTTTCTCCATGTTGGTCAGGCTGGTCTCGAACTCCCGACCTCAGGTGATCCACCCACCTCGGCCTCCCAAAGTGCTGGGATTACAGGAGTGAGCCACCACACCTGACCAAAAGCATGTGTTAACTAAGGTTGAGAAAATATTGGATTATACTTTTCCTGAGATGCCCCTTACAGTTGTGCTATGGGAAGAAGGGAGGCCTGGATTAGAGAAGAGGAAAGAGAGAGAGAGACTGGTTTTAGTGTTTAGAAGGAGGTCTACTTTCCTTCCTTTAATTTCCAGAATTATCCAGGGCTCTTGTGCTATAATGGCAGTTTGAGCCACTGGAGCCAAGGTTCAAGCACCGGGATCCATCAGTTTTGCTGGACCATCTGTGAGACTGGTTTTGAACTCAGTAACCTCCACCTCCGGGAGCAGCTCCGTTTTCAGTGGTTTTTGCCACAGGCTGGACAGGGTTGAGGTTGCTTCATTTTACTGACCGGACATTCCTTTTTAAAATGCCCTGGCCTGATACACCAATAGCAACTAGAGGATGCACCTTGGTGATCCTGGACTTTGTGAGCTTTTGTTCACAAAGCAGTTCACTGCTGCTAGAGTCTTTGTCCTTCTCTTGAGCTTTATTTCTTTCTTTTGGGACTCCTCCTGGTCCCTATTATAAAAGACCGAAGTGGCCACCTTCAGGAAGTTTTCTAAGATGCTATTTGGTCCTATAGCTTGCTTTTGTAGATTTTTTTTTCTTTTCCTTTTTTTTTTTTTTTAAATATTGAGAGCTGTCTGTGTAATAAATTTGTCCTTCAGAATGAGCTGTTCCTTAACCGAATTAGGGAATAAAAGATATACTTTATTAGTGCCTCTTTTAGCCTTTTAATAAAGGCTACAGGATTTTTATTTGGCTTTTGTTCCATTATAGACAGTTTAGAACAATTGAGAGATTTGGCCATGGTTTTCCATAGGCCTTTTAAAATGCATATTAAAAGGTGCTTTTTCTTCCATTCATTTTCTGAGCTGGGGGGTTTTAGTTAAGGTTGTTTACCTGAACTGCCTCCTTCCCTCTTGGGAAAGGTGTTTCTGCTATTTCTTTGCTTTCCCTATTGGTTTTACTTTCCTTTTGGTGTATTATAGGAGACACATTGCTTATTTTTAAAATTATTTGCTGCTTGCAGACTTACCTGCATTTTAGCTGCTGTTAGGGTTTGGTTTAGGAGCAACATAACATTCCTTCATGTGAGGTTAAACACCTGAGTAAAATTTTGGCTTCTATATGTCTATCAAGGGTTTTAGAAAATTGGCCTAAGTTTCCCTTTATTTATCTAAGGTTCTGTAATGGAAGGGAACTTGAGGGAGCCCCAAATAAGGGGGATCATTTAATGGTTCCCCTGAAAGTTGCTTTTCTAATTTTGGAGAACTCTTTTCCCTGAGCTTGCCTAATATGATTGCTAAAAGAGCTGGGTTGATTTTACAACACTTGCAAAAGTTTAGTAAAGTTGCCATGCCCTCGTGCATAAGAAAATGAGTCACTTCTTTTCAAAGTTTTGAGGTTAAAGAAGTTCCAGGGTGTAGAGTGCACTCTGGAGGGGTGCAAGCTGAGGATAATTTATTACCCATTCAGAAAAAGAATTGAGAATAAAAACGTTCTTTTAGTTTCCTTCCTTTCTGTATGACCCAGAGTGGAGGAGAAGACAGGGAGTCTCCTCCGACTTTTCCCTTTCCTGATTTCTGGATCCCGAAACCATGTTAAACGTGTCTGAATTTGTTGACGTGGTTTCTGTATGCTATGGAACCGGATGAACCAAGTGGTGGGACTAATCACGCTTACCCATGCAACCTTAGCTTATTTGCCTTGTGTGACTTTCCTTTGACTTTGTAAACCTTTGTGATTTGCCTGGTTTCCCGAAAAATGGATTTCTGGAGAGACTGTGTTGCCTTTGGGCAAGACTCCTTTAACAGTGGCAATGAGCTAGACTGCCTGTTATTACAGCCCTTGCCAAAGCATTTACCCTTAGAAAAACGGTTTTGGTTAACTTTTGAACTTAAAATTCCTTTGCTAATTAAGTATTGTCTTAATTGAAGACAGAATAGGTGCCTTAAAAGAACGTAGGCGCCGAATGGATGGGACAATATTGGGACTAAAATTTAGAAGTGGAAGACATTTTACTCCTAACTGTTGAAAGCAGAGCTCTCCCATTTACAGAAATAGCTTAGAGCCTGGTTTTTAGTGGTGTGAAAGGAAGCTGCAGTGTAGAGCAAAGGACCAGCAATGTGTCTTACGAAGAAGATTTCTATTTCCACTAGGTACCACTTAGGAATACCATATCCTCACCTGAGAAACCATAGAGAGAGACATTTAATGAATTACTGCCTGCTGCAATTTGCAATTTTTTTTTAACAGACCTGTTTTCCTGAGCTGCAAAGATTCCTGCACACTAAACATAGAGAAAGAAACCATGGATAGAGAGAGAAAGTTTGGTGACAGGAGAGCTGGAAGAGAGCCTTGAGAGTAAAGGACAGATTTAAGGCTGAGATTCACTCCATACTCACCAGTCTGATGAATGAATCCCCTTTCCTGGCCAACACACCAAAATGATATGGCTTCAATGACTAGAGGAACACCAGGGTTTTTGGTCTCATACCAGTTTAGATAAAATGACACAGACACACGTGGAGTGGTTTCAAGGAGCAAAAGTTTAGTAGGCAAGAAAGAAGGAAGAAAGAAAACAGCTCCCCATACAGAGAGAGAGGCAGGGGAGCTTGGAACAAAGAGGAATCCCGTGTTGGGTGGAAAAGGGGTTGCTTAGATTGGGATGCTGGAGAAGGCAGTGTCTGGTTTGCATAGGACCCAGGGGATTGGTTTGAAGAGGTGTGTCATTTACGTAGCCCATAAAAATCCTGTCCCTCTCACCTTAGCCCTTTAATATGCAAATATGGGTCACCCTGATGTTTTGAACACATGGTGTTATCTGGAGGTGGCCATCACACTTGGCACAGGTGGTGACAAAGAGAAGACGGTGGGAATCACCATATTGAGTGAACCCAGGTTTTAATGACTGGCATTTGCACATTAAAGCTTGCTGGCCTCCTCCCTGTGGGGGGAGGGCAGAGGATGAAGGGAGGGAGAGCATTAGGAAAAAGAGTTTTGCATGTCAGGCTTAATACCTAGGTAATGGGTTGATAGGTGCAGCAAACCACCATGGTACATGCCTACCTATGTAATAAACCTGCCTGTCCTGTACATGTGCCCTGGGACTTAAAAAAAAGTTTATACCTGCAGACTCAATGCAATTCCTATCAAAATTCCAAGGTCATTTTCCACAGACATAGAAAAACAATCCTAAAATTTGAATGGGACTACAAAAGGACCCCAAATAGCCAAAACAATCTTGAGCAAAGGGAAAAATGGGGTATCACACTTTGGAATCCCTAAATATCCTACAAAGCCACAGCAAGGAAGACAGCATGGAACTGACATAGAAACAGGTACAGTGATCAGTGCAACAAGGATGAAAGCAAAGAATGAAACACACACAATTATGGTGAATTGATCCTCAACAAAGTTTCCAAGAACAAGAGAGGGCAGTGCTTCTGAATAAATGGTCCTGGGAGAACTTAGTCTCCATGGAGTGTGGAGGTCTGGGTCCTCCCTGGGCTAGTGGATAGCCAGTGCAGTGTATAAGCTCAGCTCAGCTGAACTTTCCCTTTCCTGGGAGGAAGGAGGCTTCATTATTTCCTGTTTGAGGGTTAAGTTGTGCAGCTAGGCATAGGTCACATCCTGGGGATATTCATATGAAGAGGAATGAAATTGAACCATTATCCCATGTACAAAAATGGGTGAGAGAAAAGCTTCAAGACGTTGGTCTAGGCAAAGTTTTTTGGATATGGCCCTGAAAACACAAGCAACAAAAGCAAAAGTAGACAAAGGGTGTGCCTTCTAACTAAACAGCTTCTGCACAGCAAACAACAGAATGAAGAGACAACTCAGAAATGGGAGAAAATCGTTGCAAGCTGTGTATCTGATAAAGGGTTAATATTTAAAAATATATGAGGAACTAAAACGACACAACAGTAAGAAAGCAAAAACTACTTGAAACACGGGCAAAGGAGCTGAACAGGCATTTCTCAAAAGAAGACATACAAATAGTCAGCAGGTATATGAAAAGGTGCTCAGACAAAAGCTTTGTCTGTTGAGATAATAATTTTTTGTTCATTTTGTTAAAATACTGAATTACATTGAGTTTTTGAAAATTAAGCTACCCTTGCTTTTCATAAACAAAATTAAAAAATAATAAAAAACCAGTGTGATCATGATATATTGTCTATTTTATAGAGACATGAATCTTACTGGTTAATATTTGTTAAGGGATTTATATTTTTGTGAGAGATCATCCATGACTTTCCCATTTTGTAGTTTCCGTGTCAGGTTTGGGTATCAACTTGTTCCTAGTCTGATAAAATGTATTTGTGTAAATATACACAGAATATTCTCAGGGAAAATTTAAGCAAGTTTCCGTGTGTGTGTGTGTGTGTCTGTGTGTTTCATGAGTGCATAGAGTTTGAGAAAACCACCAACAAATCTTCCTGAAGTGGCATTTACTTTGCGGGAACATTTTTTATTACAGGATCAATGCATTTTATATATGTTTATGTATGATGATTCAATTTTTCTATTTATCCTTATGTTCATTAAGTAAACTGTAATTTTGAATATTTCATCTATCTCATCTGCATTTTCTGTTATGTTGGCATAGAATTGCTCAGTTTTCTTTCACCTTTGTGAAGTTGTGTGTAGGGTCTGTAGTGCTGCCTCCTGTTTTGTTCCTGTATGGAAAAGGGTGCCTGCTCTTTTTTTATTCTTATTTTTCTCATTGTGGCCAAGTTCCATGTATCATTAATGTTTTCAAGAATAAACTTTTGACTTTATTAATTTTTCCTTAGTTTTTGTTTGTCCTCATTAGAAGCTCCCATTTTCCCATGTCATTGGTTTGATGTGTAATATTTACATGATCACTCAATTTAAAACATTTTCTGACTTCTGTTTTTTTTTTTCCATCAGTTAACTCATTGTGAACTGAGAAGTCTGCTACTTTATTTTGATAATGCAGGGATACTATTTATCTTTGCAGAATCAGGTGAAGCCCAAAGTTCCCAGAATCTTCTAGTGGTCTGTGTTAGGGATCTAGGCTGGCTGGGGTTCAATGATGTCCACTGGGGGCAACTTCCATGCCTTCTGGGGTCCTGAGTCTCCGTGGTTTGTGGGGTCTGGGTCCTCCCTGGATTAGTGGATGGCCAGAGTGGCATAGACACTGGGCTCAGCTGAAGGTTCCCGTTTCTGGGATGGAGGAGGCTCAGTTGCCTCCCGTCTGAGGGTCAAGCTCTGCAGCTGGGCGTAGGTCACATCCTGGGGGGCTTCAGATGTAGCAGCCTGCAGTGGGGGAGAGTGAGAGGGAAGGAACATGATGGGGGTAGGAGAAGGCTGGGGGCCTGGAGAGGAAAGGACCAGCCTGAGTGTCCATCTGCCTGTCCTCTTCCGCCTGTGTGTCCTTTGTGTCCAGGAATTCCTTGGACAGTGGGGAGGGAGGAGAGGTCATTTCTCTCCTAGGTCTGGAGTGTTTCACCTGGGCATGCGTCACTGCCTGGGGGTCTTCATTGTGTGGGCTGTGCTGGAGAAAGACACTGGTGGGGGGTGTCCTCGAATCCCCCTGATCTCCTGGAGTCAATTTTCTTCACTGTTTCCAAGGTGATCCGATTACATCCCTTTCCTGATGGAATCTCAGGGATGCCCTAAGGCCGTGGAGGGTCTGGCCTCTCCCTCCCTGTGGTTCTGGCCTCTCCTCCTCACTCTGACCTTGCCCATTTGGCTGCAGCCTAATGCCTGCCTTCCTGAAAGAGCTCGATGCTGCCTCGGGGCCTTTGCACAGCTGTTTCTTCTGCCTGCAGGGACTTGTCCATTAGAGGATCCTGTGGCCCCTTCAGTCCAGGCTTCTCAGATGACAGCTGAGCAGACAGCCCTCCCCTTACCATTCAGACTGGCCCCACTGCCCCACACTCTCTGCCCTTTCCCTGGTTTATGTTTCTTACAGCACGTTGCACTCCTTTTATTTGCATTTATTTGCATTTTGTCTCCCACTACGAGGTGAACTCAGGAGGCGGGGGTGGCTTTGCTCCCTGCTGTGTCTGCAGCTCCCACAGGGAGCCCGATCCATAGTGAGCTCCCTGGGAACACTCGCTGGATGAATGAATGAAGCGGGGCCCAGGGGACTGGGGTGGTTCATCTATTCCTCATCCTCCTGAGGCCTGGGGAGCGCTCTAACCACCAGACGGCCAAACAGAGGAGGAGGAGCAGGAAGGGGACCCGGGAGGAGGCCCGCGAGGTCCCAGGACAGCAGGAGAGAGTGAGGTCACAGCAGGCGGGAGGCAGCATGCTGGACAAGGAGGGGTCCACCGTGATGATGCTGAGAACCAGGGGAAAGAGGACAGAGAAGTCCTGCAGGATTAGATCTGGCACCAGGAGGTCTTTGGTGCCCAGGACAGGGGCGGGGTCTCACCTGACTGTCAAGCTCCACCCCGTCCTCAGGCTGTGTGTCCTTCATGGCAGCATCTGCGGGGACACAGCAAGGCGTTTGTCTCCTGGGAAGGTTCCCTGAGACCTCTGAGTCCTGCCGGACCCTGCCCTGTTCCCATTAGGGCCACTGTGATGCAGGGAGGGGCTGTGATGTGCCTGAGGTCCTACAGTGTGGGTTCAGACCACCTCCCCCCGAGTCCCTGACCCTTACCAGCCTGTACTCCTGCCTCCATTGCTATTGAAACTTTGGGGCCCGCATCTCCACCCCAGGTGCACCCCCTCTGCCTCTCACTTACTGGGGTTTTCTCCCTGGACGTCAGCAGCTGGGCTGGACCTGGGGGAGGACACGGGAGTGTGAGGGGCAGTGAGGGGGCTGTTGGGGTGAGTGGGAGTCTGAGGCCTTCTGGCAGAATTACCTCCTCTGTAGACCCCCATCCTTGGGCTCTGGCTCTGCAGCCCCTGGAGGACGTTGGAAATCAGCCTGTCTCTGGGCTGGGGAAAGGTGCACAGAGTCTCAGCTCTCGGAATGTTAGAACCACCTGCCTTGCACATGCAACTCAAGAGGAAGACAAACCCGAAAATACACTTGCAAGGATGTTTTAAATCCTTCCTAAGTGTAGAAAAACCGAAAGAATAAAGCACTTCCATTATGCCCTTCTTTATTTTCTTCTTTCTAGATTTTCTCACTGGGAATTTCTGGAGCAGTTCCTCAGCTGACCTCTCCTATCTGGAGTCTCTTTGGCTAGCGCCCTGACCCCACCCTGCATCGGCCCACGGGTCCCCCAATTTCCTACTTACCTGATGTCCTGTGTTTGCCCTGACGCCAGTGTTGGAGGAGGAGGAAGAAGAGGAGGGAGAGAAGCAGGATGGAGACCACCAAGACCCCGATCAGTACCTCCCAGTGCCTTCTCAGACCTTGGGCGTGATGACATCAGGAATGGGGATGATGTCACTGATGTGAGCACCTACTGTGCGCACACCTACTGTGTGTGCTGGGTCTTTCTTTCATTACCTCCAACCCTCACAGCAGTCATGCAACTTGAGATTGCCACCCTCTCTCCACCCATTTCACAAAGGAGGAAACTGAGGCTCAGAGAGGGGAATCGCCTGTCCCAGGCCCCCAGCCAGGAAGCAGCAGAGCTAGGAAGGGAACCCGGGACTCTGACCTGCAGCCCTTGTTCCCTGCACCAGAGCCAAGCCCCAGAGTTGCAGGGAAAGAGCTTGATCATCTTGAACCACAGCCCTGCTCCCCTCCCCTGCCCCAGGTCACCGTCACCACTGCAGGTGGGACAGGACAGGCCCCTGCAGAATCGACTCTGGGAGGCTTCCCTGGGAGGCCTCCTCTCCCAGGAGATCACAGCTGGGAGTCAGAGCTGAAAGGAATGTTCCCACCCCCAGGCCTCTCTCCTTTATACTTGGAGAAACTGGGGCCCAGGCAGGGGAGGGGCCTGTCCACGTCACCACCTTCGGAGGAGCCTGAACCTAGGACAGAGCCCACCCCTGCCCCCCAGGGACCGCATTCACCTCCCACTCAGAGCCCCTCACTCACCACTCTGGGGGTCTGACCCTGTAGGCATGAGGCGCTGGTCCTCAGAGCCTGCTGGGTTAGAACAGGGACGTGAGGGCTGGGGCTGCCCTGCCCCCCACCTCAGCTCGGCTTCTCCTCCCAACATCTCCCTCTGCCTTGACCCCTCACTCCGCATGAGCCCATCCTCAGGGCCTTGGGAGGCTGTAGTGCCTCCCAAGTCACTGCCCGACTCCCACATCCCTGAAAGAAAGCCCAGCTGAGAATTGGAACGCGGACTTAGATCCACTGAGCATGTCTTGAGACAGGCCTCAGGCTTTGGAAACTCTCTGGACAGAGGCCTCTAAGACTCACCAGCTGCTGAGATGGACCTTGTGGGTGAGGGGCTGGGACTCTCCAAGGATCCTGGGTAGAAGGACAAGAGGAGGGTGAGAGTCTGGGGTTGCCCCGGAGTCTCCACCTCAAATTGAACCTCTTCCTACATCTGCCCTGTGGCTTCCCAGGGACCATGTCTCTCCCCTCCTGGCACCTTCCGGACCCCAGGTAAGGGAAAAGAGCATGGGCATGCCGGGAGGACCCCGTTGTCCTCCTCCCCTCTGAGGGCTGAGTCTCCCCTTGGCTGAGCCCCCCTTCCTCCGTCCCTGCCCAGAGCTCTCCTGGGGGCAGGGCCTGAGCTGAGCCATTGAGCTCAGAGGGGACAGGCTCAGGAGCCTCACCTAAGACTGTGAGCTCCACGGGGTCACTGGGGCGTGACAGCAGGTAGTGGGAGAAGCTGCGTGAGCTGATGCACCTGTAGGTCCCCCCATGCACTGAGGTCACAGGACCCATGGGGAATTCAGCCTGGTGCAGCTGAGCTCCGTGCTCTGATCTCAGACGCAGCAGGGGATGGGCTGCCCCCTCCTTAAACAGAAGGAAAGTGTCCATCGGGCTCCATGACTGACACAGCAGGGTCACGCTCTCTCCTGAGGTCACAAGAGGACTCGGCAGGACTGAGAGGGTGGGTTTGCTGTAGGCTCCTAGGAGAGAAGGAGGCACCGTGTTTAATGGGCTCCCACCTCCCGCATTATCCCCAGGGCTGGGCTGTGAGAGGGAGACGCCCCTGAGAGCCGACCCGCTTCCTGAGGACAGAGCCTGTGGCTGCGACCCCTGAGTGTCCTCTCACCTGTCACCACCAGCTCCAGGGGGTCACTGCGCTCTGACCAGTCTGGATGGCTGTGATAGTAACAGCGATATCTCCCTGCGTAGTGCTGTGTGACGGATGGGATGGAGAACTTGGCCTTGTTCCTGGGCTCCAGTGGTTTCTGTCTGTCCCAGGGTGCTGGGCTTCCCTCTTTATCCAGACGGTACTCCTGAGCGTCCAGGGTCCCCTGACACCAGATGGTCACGGGGCTCCCCCAGCTGATCACAGAGCCAGGCTCAGCCCAGACAGTGGGTTTGGGGAGGGGCCCTGGAAGGAAATCAGAGGCTGCATCCCAAGAGGTCCCTCAGCCCTCAGATCCCAGCTCTCAGTCCCAGGACCCTTCAGATATCGCCATCAGTCACCCAGTACTGCTGTCTCCTCTCCCAGCTGCCAATGGGTGGCCCTTTGTCCCCAGGGAGGAGGAGGGACCTGGGACAGCTGGGGACAGACTCACCTGCCTGCACACAGGTCCTGGTGCCCAGACTCAGCCCTGGAAGAGAATTCCCTGTGAGAGATTTGCCCCTGAAGCCTGAGCAGGTCCTCTCTTTACCCTGAGATTTTTGAGTCTCCTAAAGAACCAGGGCCCGGCTGTGAGGCAAAGTTCTTCCAAGACTCGGGTCTCCCCTCCCCCTCCTTAAATCTCACCGAAGCAGAACAGGACCATGAGGGTGGGGGTCATGGCGTCTCCTCCCAGTGGCCCCAGCTGTGCCGATGGATGAGTCCTCAGTGCCGGCGGAACAGAGAGACACACGGTGTGTGGCCGCGGAGGCTGGGTCCTTCTAGTCATGGGGTTGTTCCATCAGCAGCCCGCAGGAAGGGAAACTGCCCTCATTTGAACTCCAGCCTGGCTTTCATTTCCCCAGGGCTAGGGCTGGGGCACCAGGTTCTCTGCAGACATTTCAGACAGAAATGGGGTCTCTCTGATCCCAGCCTGCTGTCTCCCTGATCTTAATTCCTGTCTTGCCCAAACATCAACCCGTATGTATTGTGTATTTGCAATGTGCCTGATGCTGGGGGTACATCATTGAACAAACAAACAAAAACCTGTGTTTTCAGAGCACAGGTGAACCATAAACCTTCCTATTGCTGCCATAACAAATCACCACAAGCTTAGTGGCTTAACATAATGTAGGTTTCTTGACTTACCATTCCAGAGGTCACAAGTCCAAAATGGGTCTCCTTGGGCTAAAACACAGTTGCCATCAGAGCTGTGTCTTCCTGGAGGCTCCAGGGAGGATCCGTTCCCCGGCCTGTTCAAGCTTCTGCAGGCTCCCACATTCCGGCCTCACCATTCCCTCCATCCTCAAAGCCACCAGTCCCGTTATCCGGCCCCTGCTTCCATCTACTCACCCCCTTCTCTCACTCTGACCCTGCTGCCTCCCCTGTTTCATTTACTCAGCCCCGTGTGATTACATTGGCCCACCTGGATAATCTCCCCAACCCAAGATCCTTAACTTAATCACATCTGCAAAGTTCGTTTTGCCACATAAGTTCCCCCTATTCACAGGGTCTGAGGCTCAGGACGTGGACATCTCTGGAAGGTCACTGTTCTGCCTCCCACAGGCCTTCAGGGATTCCTTTAGCCAAATCTCTCAGAAACCACTTCTCTGTGATGACGGAGAGCGGCTGGGCACGCCAGTTGATCGCTTGGTGGGCCAGTGCACAGCCAGGTCATGGTCGGCTCCTGATGTCCCACGGGGCCCTGCCTACGTGAGGCCAAACGGTCCATCTCTACCAGAGCCCAGTAGCCACCTAAAAACTGTGCCGCAAAACGAAACTCATTCTCTGCAGCGCCGGCACGATGTAGCTCCAAAATCTTTTATTTTTTCTTTCTTTTCTGAGACGAAGTCTCGCTCTGTCGCCCAGGCTGGAGTGCAGTGGTGTGATCTCAGCTCACTGCAACCTCCGCCTCCCAGGTTCAAGTGACTCTCCTGCTTTAGCCTCCTGTGTAGCTGGGATTGCAGGCACCCGCCACCACTACTGGCTAATTTTTGTGTTTTTAACAGAGATGGGGTTTCACCATGTTGACCAGGCTGGTCTTGAACTCCTGATCTCAGATGATCCACCTGCCTGGGCCTCCCAAAGTTGCTGGGATGACAGGCATGAGCCACCGCGCCAGGCCAAGCACAGATTTTAAATGTCTTCACTGCAGATAGATGTTAGTATGTGGAGTGATGGACATGTTAATTGGCTTGATTCCATCATTCCGCAATGTATACATTTATAACACATTGTACTCCATAAATACATATAGTTGGTGAATTCAATATTTAGTAAAATTATTTTGAAAAGAAAAATAACCATAAATAGATAACAAGCATGCAAAAAGGCCAGATAGCTTCAACCCTCAGACCACTGCCTGGATTAGCTTCAACCCTCAGACCACTGCCTGCATTAACTTCCACCCTCAGGCCGCTGCCTGTGTAAAACACTGCAGGTGGTCAGCTCTCAATAATCATCCATTCGAATGGGCATGTCCTGCAATGATCTGGAATTGTGGTCTGTCCTAGATGGTGACTAATCATTTTCTGCCTCTGATCTCCTTAAAAGAATGGAGAGGGCAGGGCGCAGTGGCTCACACCTGTCATCCCAGCACTTTGGGAGGCCAAGGCGGGCGGATCACGAGGTCAGGAGATCGAGACCATCCTGGCGAACACGGTGAAACCCCGTCTCTACTAAAAATACAAAAAAAAAAAAAAAAAAAAAAAAATTAGCCGGGCGTGGTGGCGGGCACCTGTGATCAGCACAAGGCTGAGGCAGGAGAATGGCGTGAACCCGGGAGGCGGAGCTTGCAGTGAGCGGAGATCGCGCCACTGCTCTCCAGCCTGGGCGACAGAGCAAGACTCAGTCCAAAAAAAAAAAAGATGAAGGACCTTCCTAATTTTGAAGACTGAAACATAGGGTGGGAGGGAAGGAGGAAGTAGGAGTTAAAACAAACCCAAAATAAATCATGTCTAATGGTCAGGAAGGCAAAAGGGGCGAACCCCCGAGGCGTGGTGTGTCGAGCGGCCGGGAAACGCGCCACGCCCTCCAGGCTGGGCGACAGAGCAAGACTCAGTCCAAAAAAAAAAAAGATGAGAGGACCTTCTAATTTTAGAACTGAAACATAGGGTGGGAGGGGAAGGAGGAAGTAGAGGTTAAAACAAACCCAAAATAAATCATGTCTAATGGTCAGGAAGGCAAAGAAGGAGAGGCTTGCAGGAGGCTGAAAGTCAAAGTGCCGGTAACTGCGTGAATACCGCTGCATTCAGGTTTCCAAGCACCTACTTTTAGTACCTCATTCCGTATCCTTTGGGGTCACTCAGAATCACGGGGCAGTATCTCTTTTCGAGGATTTCCATGCGTGTCTCCACACTGGTGTGTAAGGAGCTGACGGGAAGCTATTTCAGCCAAAGCCTGATGCATCGGACAATCTCTGGGGAAAAACAAACTCCCAGAAATGGGGACTAGAAAGTCATACACATAGTGCCGAGTATCTCCTGCTTTGGAGGGAAGTTCTGGATCGTGGTCTGCAACTATCAGAGATCCTGGTGTGCACCTGTCCTTGTTACCTGCTGCAGTGTGTCCGCAAGGCGTGCTGATCTCAGAAATCCCTTCCCTTCTCTCTTTCTCTATCCTGTTCCCTTAACCCTGGTACCCAAATCAGTTACCTGCGCTCATATCCTTAAGTCCTGCTTTCAGAGTAACCTGTGCTAGAGAAGGAGTGGGAACTATGCCAGGAAGTTTTTCGATGTCCTCACCCCTTTTCTAACCGCTCAACATGACTTGCCTTTACCAGTCCTGGACTTCTTCTTGTATTTTGCTGCTTTTTTTCTCTTCCTTTTTTTTTTTTTTTTTTTTTTTGAGACAGGATCACGCTCTGTCACCCAGGCTAGAGTGCGGTGGCGCAATCTCCGCTCACTGCAACCTCAGCCTCCAGGGTTCAAGCACTTCTCCTGCCTCATCCTCCCGAGTAGCTGAGATTACAGGCAGCTGCCACCACACCAGGCTCATTTTTGTATTTTTAGTAGAGATGGGGTTTCACCATGTTATCCAGGCTGGTTTTGAACTCCTGACCTCAGGTGATCTGCCCGCCTTGCCCTCCCAAAGTGCTGGGATTACAGGCATGAGCCACCACGCCCAGCTAATTTTTGTGTTTTTAGTAGAGATGGAGTTTCACCACGTTATCCAGGCTGGTTTTGAACTCCTGATCTCAGGTGATCTGCCCGCCTTGCCCTCCCAAAGTGCTGGGATTACAGGCATCGGCCACATCACCCAGTCTCATTTTGTTTTTGGAGTCATGTACTCACCGTTCAGTAAATCTTATCCATCCTCACTTAAGAAACATTTAAACATGTCAACCTGTGGCCATCCCAGGACACAAGAGATAAAGGTGAGCAAAGCAGATATATTGGATTCACAGTAACCCAGACTTCATTTCCAGTTACCTCCCCTCCTGGAAAATCTAGCATCCTAGCAAAAACTAAGTTGATAAAATCACTACACAGAAAGTTTAGAAATAGGACCAGTCCTGGGAAGGAAAGATTTAAAGCAATAGGACAGGATGAAAGAAATACTCACTGGGTACTGCACTCACCTCCTGGGTGCAATAGTCTCATGTAGCAAACCTGAGCATATATCCCCATATCTAAAATAAAAGTCGAAGTTCAAAAAATAAAGAAAAAAAAGAGAAAGCAATAACATGTTTTGTGGATTTGAGATGGAGGGTGGTGAGGAAGCTGAATGAGAGGTAAGAAGGTGATGATGAGTTGGCATTATCTGAATGAAGGGATGCCTGGGGGTGGAAAGAGAAGCATTGCAGGTGGTCCTGGGCAAAGGTATTCAAACGGGTGGATCCTAACGCCTTACAAGAAGTAAAAAGACCACAAGAATCTTTTCATTCTTTTCAAAGTATGTTTCACTGTAGAATCAAACTTTTGTGAGATACTAAAAACGACCTAATTGGAATGAATCATAAATTTCCAACTTAATTTGGGGGCACGGGTGTTCTGTGATTCATAAGAACTCATGTTTTATTGTTTCATTTTCTTTTTTTTTATGATTATACTTCAAGTTCTGGGATACATGTGTAGAATGTGCAGGTTTGTTACAGAGGCACACACGTGCCACGGTGGTTTGTTGCAACCATCAACCCATCATGTACATTAGGTATTTCTCCTAATGCTATCCCTCCCCTAGTTCCCAACCCCCTGACAGGCCCCAGTGTGTGATGTTCCCCTCCCTGTGTCCATGTGTTCTCATGATTCAACTCCCACATATTAGTGAGAACATGCCGTCTTTGGTTTTCTGTTCTTGTGTTAGTTTGCTGAGAATGATGGTTTCCAGCTTCATCCATGTCCCTGCAAAGGACATGAACTCATCCCTGTTTTCATGGCTGCATAGTATTCCATGGTGTATATGTGCCACCTTTTCTTTATCCATTCTATCATTGATGGGCATTTGGGTTCGTTCCAAGTCTTTGCTATTGTGCATAGTGCCACAACAAACATACGTGTGTATGAGTCTTTATAGTAGAACGATTTAGGATCCTTTGGGTATATACCTAGTAATGGGATTGTTTCATGTTCAACTGACATCACGTAACACCGAGAAGGACGATTCTTAGCTCCTACCCCATGCTGCGTCTCCTGGGCAAGGGTCAAATTATGATTGGGTTTAGTGAAGTTTGATCAGTTGGGGGTTGACTGGCCCATGGGGGGATCCCCAAAATGTCAGCATGTGGAAAACTCTATGGTTGCTCAACTGTCCCTTTGGCTGAGTCATTCCTAGCTCATGCTAGACTCTGCCTTTCTCTATTTTGAATATAGCTCCCTTGTTTCCTGTCTTTGTGCTGTCAGTCTAGTGAGATTGAGAATATATCTGTCCCAGAATAGAATAAATTATTTCCCTGATCTCCAACCACTGATTCACTGCACTGGACTGCCTGGACAATGAACT